AAAAGTGCATCACTTCTTCCTCCTGCCTTTCTCTTTTCCTGTCTTTACCCTCTTTACCTTGCTTCTGTGAATGCATATAGCTGCTTAAGCAGGGTGGAGAGGGCATAAGGGGATAGAGGGGTTAAAAGGTGGTGATCTGTAAGCAAAGTAGCATTGATCAAACCACTTCTGAGTGGGACACCCTTGCATGGGTGTCATTGGATCCATAAAGTGCAAGGTAGGAGATAATCAAGACAGTAACCAATGATGTATTCATTATGATGTTGTTTAAGAGGTTTCAGGTTTTCCAACTAAATTTGGTGATGAAGTGCTGTGCTAAAGCAGCTTATAGTAGTTTAGCTTCCCTTGTATCAAAACAAAAGTTTGAATCAAAAACATGCTTGGGAATAGTTCTTGGGGCAGGGGGGAAGGTCGCATAGAGCCTTTCTTTGTACATATCTATCATCTCAAGCACAAGGCAAAGGTAGCCAAGAGTTGTAGCCCAGCAGTGCGGACGGGAGGAAGGGGAAAAGATGCTCTGTGCAGAGGTCTCCCAAGAGAGCGCAGAAAGCCTGATGGGGAAAGCTGCAACAAGGCAGCAGGACCAGATGGTTTAATCCCTCCTTCCCCTTCTCACTGCCTTTAGTACATCCCTGAAATGTGTTCAAGTACAAGCTGTGAGAAGGAGTAGGACAGTTAGGGGGTGTAAACAACTGGGACTCATCACGATACAGTTGCCACGAGTATCCAAACAACAGGGTAAGAAAGAGACCAAACTAAGGCAAAGCAACGCAGGAACAGAGGGCCGCTTTGGGGTTTTGAATGTTGTGAGACAGTATACATACTCACGCATCTTTTGCAGCTCTGTAGTAATATTTTCTGTTAAGGCTGCAACGAAACACTGAAATTCAGTCTGCTGCACCACTGAGCTGATGCAGGCCCCATTTCCAAGATGCCCAACGTTAGCACGCCCAGAGTCTCTGAAATCAGACACCTAAATGTGGGCTGACTACTGCTCTCGCATTCTGTATACTTAGTCCAGCTGCTTGAAGTTTTATCTGTATTTGAACACCCCAGAAGAGGATGCCAACCAGCTAGACATTGTAGAGTCTTCCTCCCACTGCAAAGCTGCCAGAAGCCTCTTGCAGGATTAACGCACAAGCTCAGCTCTGTGGGACAAACTGTGCTGCTCACTGAAGACACAAACAAACCAGAGCACACAGCCAGGAAAAAGCTCTCACAACAGTCTGCCCTGAAGCAATGATCTAAACAGCTCAAGCTACTGATGTCTGAAACATCACTAAGGTCACAGACCATAAAAGAAAGAAGATGTTAGCTGTAGGTGCCTCAGGATAAAGTCATTCCCTAGAGATAACACAGAGGATCCAGTCATGCTGCTAGTGCTGAGAGGTTTGGCAGAGAGCTTAAAAGAGATACGAGGTGCACCTAGGTTTCCACGCTCTCCTGCATTATTTCTTCTCCTGGGCATTACTGGCCAAACTACAATCCAGGAATTATTTTTCTTTCCTTATATCTCCAGGTGCTAGGGCAAAGGGTAGAGCCACTTTGGTAGCGCTAAAGCCACAGAATTCCCTGGGTGACAGTTCTCCTCTGCATGTTTCACACAAGAGGGTGATGCCTTCACAACAGAAAACAACCAGAGCAAAGGGCATGTTTCTCCTCTGCTCTGAGCATAAGTTAACCACCCCTTCCCCTCTATTTATGTGTTATAAATGAAAAACAAAGCGGTAAGTACAAGTTGCTACTGACTGAAATAACTTCCTGTTTCCACCTTGTAGTTCCCTCTGAAAATTGCCGCTTGAAAAATAAAGAGAAGGAAAAGAGCTTTTCAGAGACTGTGGTTTTTCACATGTGACGAAATAGGTCTTCCTAAGCCTGTACTTAGCCTGAAACTGTGTTTTAGAAAGATAAACCCAGCAGCTGATTAACAAATGCTGCTTTCATCCTGAATTACTCAGAAGCTCTGTGGAGGTCATATTAGCACCAAATGAGATAGTTCTAATCAGGGGCATAACAGCAAGTACAGATTAGTTTATAATTAATGCAAAATTAAGTGGTCATCAGGGATGCTGATTTAAGCCTCTTGGAAGATAATAGAACACAATTTCAAACTCCACTCTTTTCAGCACCTACTGAAGAAAGGTGTCCCTTAAGAAAGGTCTCCCTAACATGCATGGTGAGGAAGGTCAGAACCTAGGGCGCTCAGCAGTACCTTGCCGAGTTTAAAAGTTTCAAGTAATATGACTCAATAAAAGCTCATTTTCTATTTCTAGGTCTTGTTTCTGCCCTGTGGACTTTTGTCCAGTCAGAAGATCAGCCTGCTCCCACACAACGGCCTGCCAAAACTCACAGATCTGAACACTGCTCTTCTGCTCCTCCGAGCAGCGGTTCGGGACAGGACAGTTTACTGGGTAAGCAATACTTTCACTTACACAGCTGCGTTTCTAGGGCAACTCCACCAGGGACAGATTTTCATCAGTGTAATACGGAGCAGAGTTTGGTTTCCCTTCTGCACAGGAAGTGTTTCAGCTGGGAAACCGTTTTCCTTGAGATGGTTTACACCAGGGTAAACCTACAAGATGGGGAATGCTGGGAACAGAAGTGATACCAGACTGAAGCCTGAGAGCTTAAGGACCCAAGAGATGACCTGACCAGACGTTTACGTAAAGCAGCTCAGATTTGCTATATATACCATCCTTGCTGGGGCCAAATACACCTTTCATGTACACAGCCTGGTAGAAAAGTTAGTTATCTGGTAACTGGACTGTATGAAACTGAGGATACAATATGAATGTTCTCCCATTCTGCCTTCATGAACTCCCAATGTTTTTGGCATAAGAATATTTTTGCACTTACCTGTAAAGATTTTTGCAGTTTTTATAGATCCCATTTGAAGTGTAGTGCTCTCCAAACACAAAAAATCTTAACATAAGGTTACAAGAAGCTTCATAAATTTCTAACAAACCGTATTGGAGATTTGCTTGGAAAAGCCATGTAAAAATTAGTCTAAATTATATTTCAGAGCTGGACTCTTGAGAGAGTGACTGATATGGCAATTAGGAATAGTATTTCTAAAAAAATTCAGTTAAAAGAACACAACTGTTCACATCTGCAAAATATGACTCCAAATCTGTTTCAAACTAGCAGTTTAGTCATTGTAACCTACTGGATGATGCACTGGGGGCATAACACATCATTGCTGTTAGTCCAGCTCCAAACGAAATGGTCACAAAACACATCACAGGTTTTTTTTGATACAATCTCAAAGTAGACTTACATAATCATTCCAAATAAATGCATTGGAGACAGAATTACCACTGATCCCTAAACCTGGAAGCACAACAGGATTGTACCTACTCTCTAGAATGTCTCTTTCTTGTCCTAAATTAACCCAAATCTATCTTTTAAATATTGCACCATATCCTGCGTTTTCATATAATAAATATTGATTAAAAACTCCCAGGCAAAATTTAAAAATTTCTTGTTTTTATAGCTACAGGGCACCAATTAATGAAGAAAAGGAATGCAGTTCACTTGAGAACTGCAAAGATACATTGCCAGTAATGACAAGGAGAACATGATGCAGATCAGCAGATAAATCATACTCTAGAAAATTCATGCCCTTCACCAATTTCAGTAATTGCTTTTTTGCTGTACCTGTATAAGCTGGTGCAGAGAAAAGAAATGCCATTACTTATAAAGGTAGACATGGAATTAGGCAATGAAAGTAACAGCTATAAAACAGAAGAGCTGGGCGCCAAATGTTCCTCTGTACAGATATGTTCCTATGTTCCTGTGGGTCCACATAACTTGCCAGTATAGACAGAGACCTTCTCTCCGTAGAGGTACTTACATGTCTTGAACTAAGTGGAAGAGGAATTGAAAATCTTCTATTCTTCCATGGTCAAAAATTTAAAGTCTGCATGTAAGTATTTTTCTTAATTGTCGAACCTTTAGTATTGGACTTTGTTGTCATGGTATTCACCTATTCCTAGTTAATCCAGTCTGTATTTCACCTGAGGTGAAATAAGCTCCCATCAAGAAAATCATAAAAACCTATGGTATCACTTCTTCCACGTTAAGGACCTGTTCACGTAAATAAGGCCTTTTGCTGTTTTTCTGCATGAGCTAAATTCCACTTGGAGTACATTTCACCAGTAGACTCTTGTGTTTCATTTAACACAAAAATATTCTGCTTTCTACTGCATTTCAATCTTGATCTGTATCTCCTGAACTTCAAATGATGCCTATAGATTGCCAACAAAGATCTTGTTCTCTTGTGATTGTTCTACCGCACACAAAGCAATCTGGCTGGACATTTTACTGTTTTATTCCTCTTTGTAGTTACAGCACATTTCATTTTCCTATCACATGGAAAAAACAGCACGAAAATAGCTGAAACTTCAAAAAAGATATTATTTGCATTTCAGTAATCACTTGTGTGCAATGGACCTCTGTACTCAGATGACAAATACCACTTTAGGCTGTAAGTGATCATTAACAGTCAATTTTAGAACTAGAGTAAAAGCGCATTGGGAGAAAAGCTATCACTAAATACTGAAATAACATAGACTGTATGCACTGTCCATTATCTACATGATAAAAGAACGTATCAGAAGCAACATGTAGAGAGTAATATCTCCAAGTTTACAGCTCAGCTTAAAGACAGAATATATAAAAAATTTTCATTAGTTTCAAGATTATTAAAAAATGCTTCCCTCATGCTGCATTTATGAGGAACCCATAGCAAGGTGTAACAACCAGCCTGCTGAGCATGCCATAACTTATTAGACTTACTATCAATATGATAAACACAATTTTATTCATAATGATTGAAAAAATTAAATCTGTATTTTATTAGGAGATTCAAAACTGAAAGTGAAAGAGAAAACAATTATAAATACACTCTGGTTCTGGTTATCTCAGGCCACCTTTATGGGAACAAACTTCTATATCAACCACATAATTGAGAGCAAAAGCTTTGGGTTTTCTTAGATTCATCAGCTCAAGAATTCACAAATAATTAAGGCACATGAATTTCAGCAATCAACGTCATTCCATTTTCCAGAGTCTTACATTACTACACAGTCTTCATTTTTTAGATTATTTGGTTCTCCAGCATTTTGTTTTCTGTAAGTTACAGCCTCTTCATTCAGATATGTGAATGTGCTTTTAGTCTGTTCAGCAGATATCCCCATATAAGCCTGCATCGAAGGTGTTCTTAAGTCTTTTAAAGTTGTATTCTCAGCCTCCTTCCTAGGAGAGGCAGGTGCACTTCCAGCTTTTGCACAAAAGGATTTTCCATTGTCAAAAGTATCTTCTTTTTCAGTTGAGACAAATATTTTTTTTACCAATACTCTTGATGTTCTTTAAAATCAAAGCTAGAAACAAAAGTGAACATAATTTTATTATACCAAAAATTGATCATGTTATAGTAATTTCTCCATATCACAATTGTACTTCAGAAGTAGCTAATACCAGCTATAAAAAGACTATTTCTTGAAGTCGTAGGCAGAATCCAATAGAAGTCAAACAAAACAGACACCCAGAAATATCAAGCCCACACTTAAAGAAAATGGGAATTTCACAAGAAACTGGATCACAAGTCTTGTACTAATGTTTTTCATTTCCAGTTCATATAGCATTACAGCTCTTGAATCAGGATCTGAGGGAATTCACACTCAAATTGCAAGCATGACAAAATAGCTTGCCAGGTTTCAATGCAAAAATCACAGATCAATTAAAATCATACAAAGGAACTGAGCTGCAATTAGGAGATCTTCTGTACCCATCAGCTTTATCACAGGAACCAAAGCTGAGGGACTGTAATAGAACTCAGGGTTCAAAGCATCAGAGTGGAAAGAGGAGACAGAGACAGCTTTAGTGAGCCTGGGAAACTGAGTATTTCTCCAGAAAATATAAAATTATCTTGGAGAATTAGGAATATATAGCTCACATGCTTGACAGGCTTTCATAAAAAGCCAATAAAAGTGAAGCTCTTGTTCATTTAGCAGATAAAACTGTTAACAGCAATTCTTTTGAAACACAGTTGCTGTCTTTAATAAGCAAGTTATTTTATCTTATTGTCTTTAACAGGTTTCTGGGATTAGTGTGAAAGGAGTCTGCCACGTCATCTACAATGATACAAAAACTGGGCCATATACATAGTTAAATTTTCCCCTGATGATGTGGGAATGGTAGCAGCACAACGCTCTTGTGGGCAGGTCAGTTCAGGAAGGATGTATTCAGTGAGGCAGCATTTAATTAATGACCATCTCCCATGAGCAACGCAAGAGAAATTTGTAATATCTGTTTCAGCCTACTGCTTTCAGTCCCTTCTCCAGCACAAGCATGTCCATCATTTTACCAGGCCAAAAAGAAAACTAATCAACGATTAGACCTTATCTTTTTTGCATCTATTTAGTTCAGCCTCCAAAACCTGTACTTTTCTTTCCAAAGCAGTTACTTGTCTGTGCAGGTCATTGGCTACTAGAACTAGGAATTAAGGATGTTATTTAGTAATTTATATTAAAATGACTACACAACAACTGTCTCTGAGATGTTTAGCTTTCCTGTAACCTGATGCCACGTGAGAGAGCTACTCAGTTTCCAGAGCAGAAACCACAGGTCACATTGCAGGTTTGTTCCATGGAAATTTGTCCCAGTGGGAGAGCCTTATCCCTGACTGGGATGAATACTTGGGTGGGCTTTGAATTCTCAGGGCTGCCAAAGTCATCCTATTCAGAGGGAAAAGCCCAGTTCTCAAAGGCAAAACACAGATGTAAACATTTTAAAATGAATTAAAGTTGAAGCAAAACCCACACGAACAGGCAAAGAATGAAAGAAAAATATGCTGTTTATAATGACATAGAAGGTTTGTTGTTTCACTCCCAACAATAAACTAGTGACTCATTCCAGACACTTTTTTCCCCCCAGTTATGTTGGTCAACTCATCTCCTATGTAACAGACAACTTATCTCTCCACTCCTTACACTTCTGGAAATCACACCTTTCCTCAAATGATGTTGTAAGGATACCAGATATTAACACAAATATTTTTTGGAAGATATATTAAAAGCTTGAAAGCCAGATTATAGAAACATGAGGAATTTACTCCTTACTTCCATGTTCTCCTTTTTCTCCTTTCTCTCCTTGTGATCCCAAAACTTCTTTTATTTCTGGAGGTCCTGCTTTTCCAGGGAAACCCTGCAGACCTCTCAATTTTTCTCCTAGAGTTTGATTTAAAATAAAATTGTTTAAAAGTTTTCTAAGTTTTTCTCCCACTATGTTTTCTTAGTGCTTAGAGAGAGTACTAAACACTGACTCTTTTTTTTTTCTTTTTTTTTTCCACCCCAGGAAAATAAAAGCATCTCAGGAAGATTGAATTGTTCCTGTGGAAAGCTTCATTTGCTAGGAAATGCATTACTTTGATGAAAAATTCTTTACTACACCTACTTATGGCACTGAAAATCCAATGAAATAAATGCTGTCTCATGTTATTGCAGAGGTACACATGCTCTAAAACCAGAAAGCCAATATACTTCAGCTGTAATCCAATCACACATTACAGTATATGATCTAGAAAATGAGCTAAATCATAAGATTAAGGATACCTCTGAAGCAGTTTGTTGAAACAGATAGTGCTGGCTTTGCTTATTTCAACCATATAATTGCAGAAGACATACTGAGGGTATGTGGACCAGAAAATGTCTATACAGAATATCAATATATGCTACTAAAATTTTATGTCATAGTTCATATCAAGTGGTATTGATAACAATGGGAGTTTGCTTGAAGGTTGAAAAGCAGTTATCTAATTCTAGGATGTGTGGAGGATAACATGATAACACAGACAGGATACAATAAGAAAGTATATGATTCCATATGTACTTATTAAGTTTGGACAGAAACTATGATTTGGCAGCTTGGGAGAGCAGATGACTTGGTTCTGCCACATGACAGAAAGCACTTGCTGATCTATTTGCTGTTTGCAGCAGTGCATGAAAAAAGTCACCTAACTGACAAATCATGCCTTGGGGGAATTCTGTTGTTGGGACTTAGTGAGTATGAAGCAATCAAGGTATGACCATCAGATTAGGAGCCAACTATAGCAAGCATGATTTCTGGTTTTGAGAGCTGGCCCCTGGAAAGAAAAAGCAATAATCATTTAGTAGGGTACCGTAGGAAACTCTCTAAGTGATTCAGAGTACAAATGGTACAATCAGATTAAAATCTCATTACAACTGTGTTTTATGGGCTGCTGTCAAAATGTACTGTATTTATTTATTAAAAGCCAAGTACCTAGAGTAGCATTATAAATGCAGAAAGCATTTTCAGCTTCCTGAAATTGTGTGGAGCCTACAAAAGGTTAATGGGGTAGAAGAAAAGGAGAGAAGTAAAAAGACAAAATGAAAGAATGAAGGAGGCATGAAACAAGACTAAAGGGATGATAAGGAGTATAAAAAATACAATATTGCTAAATGTTCATAGCTCTGTACCTGGTTCTTCCTTTTCACCTTTGGGAGCATCTCTTCCATCTCTGCCTGGTAAGCCATTGACTGCAGAACCACTGCACTGAATTACTGGGCAGGAATAAACTTTCCCTTCTGGTTTATCTGGTACCAGCACAACACTCGTGGGCAGGGAACCCTCGCTGCGCTTCTGTGCCAGGTAAAACCTCCGCAGTGGTTTCAGACACCATTTTCTAGGGTGCTGATACATGAGCACAGGAGGACAAAAGGGAGATGGCCAAAGAGGTCACTGCTACCAGCTGTTCAGCCTCTCTGTGCTCTTCAATTTCTTGCCCCAATTTCAGGTTAACTTTCACAGGCTTTACACACAACTATGGCTTCAAAGTTGTGCTTTCTCCAGGCCAGACACCCCTTGGAAGAGGTGCAGAGCTATATGACTTTACTCTGCTGATGCTCACGATGTGGTAAATTGCAGCCTGTGCCATTTCCTCCCAAGTTAATTTAAGAACAGTGATGGACCTTGTGCTTTTCCTAACGCCACACAGTATCTCTTGAGAAATTACTTGCACCATCTTGTTACCATCAACAGTGAAAGCCAAAGTACCAAGGCACTGAAAGGCTGAAGAAGAGTCATTGCTAAGCCCACAGATCTGTGACAAATCAAGCAGTCATTTCATAAATTCCTCCATTTACATAATTTTAAAGGGTTGCCTAGGAAAGAGTTGCCTACATTGCCTAGGAAATACACTCCTGTCTTCAGGCAAAAGACCAAGAACAAGAGATAATGTCTGAACCATTTCATCTAGCCTCTGATTGTATCTTTTCATATGACAACCAGAAAAGAAACAACCAAGCTTATAAGAATCTGAAAGTCTGAAGCTGTAATGAAAATACCTAATATAGCAATACATACCTAATATAGTCATCAATCTCACCATGCTGCAAATCCATTTCAATGTTTTGTTCATTGTATGTCTAAATTTAAAGCATTTCTCTTCATGCCAAATGAGTCATACAATATTCCAGTCTGGGATGAATCCTGAACTCTCCAGCTATTGTGTTTCTGCTGAGACTCTTCTTTCCACAGCTATCAGGATTGCTGTATGTCTAAAGCTTAGAGTGATTAAGCTGTTTCTCTTGACAGCATTTCCACTACTAGTGCGTTTAAGTAGTAATGATCTGATTGCCTCCCAATTTCTGCTTTCAGACCTTGTATATTAATAAGATACATTTCTTCCTCAGTATTACACCTCAGAGCCGAAGTCCTCTTGGATCCCAGATCTGCAATACTTTGCTGCCCTCTCTGAGCAGAACAACACTAACAGGCAGTAACATCATAAGGTAAAGCTCTGCGCGATGTTCTGACTAGTTGTGCCACAGTAATTGTCCTTGATTTCATTATGTGTTTAACTGAAAAACCAAAATGAAACTACCAGAAACATGAGCTGACAAACTTTTATGTTAAATAAGCCACATACTAAAGTCAATTGGCCTTACTTTTTCCCAGTTCTACCAGTCAAAATGAAAGACAAGCCTAAGGAGGCACCATTTGGTTGACAGATTGGGGTAAGGACAGAAACTAAATCCAGCGTGAATTTTGCTAGTCACCTTAATTGCTTCTCTTTATTTTAAGCTTCAGAAAAGATTGTCCACAGAGAGCAGATTCCCCTGTCATGTTTCATCTGATAAAGTACAATATAAAGTATAACTCTAGCATATTACTGTGAGAACATTATCATTAGGATAAAAAGCAAAGTTTAAGAAGCACCACTTTTATTTATACTTCTTTGTGCTGCCTCCATTAGGGTCCCATCAAAATCTGGGGCAATGGCATACATGAAAATAAAGTAAGGAAAGGTATTTAGCTAACTAGTATAACAAAACTTGAATCCTGGTTTATATTTCTTACCCAGCTTCATGGACTCAAGTCAGATCTCAACAGCCCTCTAAGGATTTCTTTCTGCTGAGTTTTTATACTATGTTAATTATCCAGTACCAAGGAAGTTGATATTGCTGCTGTCTCCCATGAAGGCAGCAAGACAAAGCTTAAAATAATAGCACAATAACAGAAAACTTGGAAACAAAATGTTAAGCTCTCAGAGAAGTCCGCTCCCTATGGAGATTCAGCCTCACACAAGCCTTTGTTGGTTTTGCCTGCCAGGAGCTAAGATCTATTTACCTCCAAAGTTTTCCAAGTTGACCACCTCAATCCTTTATTCTAGGAGAGCCAAAGTGCCTGTTTACCCTTGGCAAATTGGTGGCAGGGTTTACTAGCAATGAAATCACTTCCCAAAGAGACTAATTATAATTTGCACCAACAATGGTTTAGATAAAAAAGCAAAATGTTCCAAATTTCTCACAAAAATGGAGTAATTCTTAGGGAGCTGAAATAAAAAACACAGGTTTTGCAATCCATATTTATATTCAGAGAAGATGGAGAATCCCACATGCAGAATCACACTAAGTGGATGTAATGACAGTATGACAGTCCTCAGGTCCCAAGGCTTACACAGTTGCAGACTTTCTTAGCAGAGATCAGAATTAGGCCTTGAAAGGTGCCATGAAACTTTTATATTTAGGAGGTAGCTAGTTCTGGAGGTCCTATTTAAAGACATAGATCTCAGGTAACACTTTTGTTCCTCCATAAAAAGTGCTTTAGGACACGATTTACCCAATGCAGGTAAGAGCAGGGAAGGGATCCTGGAAAAGGCAGCAGGGAGTCCTTGTTCCAGACCTAGTCTTGGAGGTGACAGGTCTGAGTCATTAGCCCGAAACCTGACAGTCTGACAACACAGGACAGCCCTACTGAAGTCAAGTACTAGGGAAACTGCTCTTCAAAAGCAGATATTACATTTATACAGAGAATACTCAGGGACAGAATGCTATTAAACTGATAGATTACATCCTGCTAACAGTCCTCCTCATCAGCTTGCTGTGGTCCAGTAGGGCAGCCTACAAAAGTCCTTTCTAACCAGCATGTCTGCACCTGCAAGGGTTGCATGGCCTCAGTATGGTCAAATACTTATCACAGCAGAAGAGATCTTTACTTACCAACACCTTTCCTTGATCAGTACACAGTGAAACTCCTATCGCACCACTGGCTTCCCTGACAGCCAGCACAACAGAACGTAGCAGAGAAGAAATGGAACAGAAACCTGCTGGATTTTTACCGTGAGGACAAAGCCTGCCGGGAGAAAAAAAAATCCCCTACATTTCTACTAAAAGCTGTAATTTTGTGCTTTAATTTGGGAAGAGGTTGCTTACTGGTTTATCTCTGTCTTGCACAATCCTAACGATTGCCTACCTCAATCTCACCACCCCTATTTACAGGTACTGCATACGACATTCTGGGAGTGAGCCCTTTGCTCTCTGCCTGGCCTTGGACAGACATTGACTGTGTTACAGTGCAAATGAACAATGAAAAAATCAGAACAACTACAGGCACAGAAAGTTTTGACTGTAAGGGTTTTCCTCTTTATTCAGTCAATGGATTCATTTTTTAATACCCTAGGAGAGGGAAGGACTGCACTGACTGCCTTTCCTGCAATGCAGTCTGAAAAAACTTGGCCAACTCAAACATACCCATTTATGTTTAAAAATGGGATGTAGGATTTGGAAAAACAACATGGAGTGGAGGAATATCTTTAAAGTAAATCACTTACTACTTGTCTTCTTATAATGCTAGTGATACAGTTAGTGATTAGAATAAACTTCTCAATAGAGCTTGCACTGTCCAGCTGGCTATAGTACATTGTGTGGACATGGAAAGTACAGTAGCAAGAATAGTGGGGAGGATATTGCCATGGGTAGCTCTGCAAAATTAATAACATAAAATATAATGCTGAGGAGGAGATGTCTTGGGCAACTCTGCTTGCAGAAAATTTCCTTACCTAGAGGAAGGTCTGTTAGACATTTCCAGCTGCAAAAACCCAATTCAAACTCTCCATCCTTGCAGCAGTGTCAGGAGTGATTTTTTGTTCCCAAGATCCCATTTCTGGGGCTGTTCTCTGATGTGGTGGCATCAGACAGAGATGCAGCAAGCTGTGAGGCTGCCTTTGTATCTTTCCTGTTCGGGAGCTAAAATAAATTTAGTCTCAGTAAAAATAAAATTAAAACATCAGTTTAGAGCAGTGCTATTTGTCAGCCATGATTTGATAAAAACATTGTAGAGCCAACATCATTAAAGAGATTTGGAATTCGAGATCTGTTCTTTTTAAATAGGAAGCTGAAATTTCCACACTGACCTTTGCTATTTTGGCCAAGCACCAAATGTGGTATCTATAAGCTGTCAACACATGGCATGCACGGCTTATTTTGTAACTTTGTAACCCACAAAAATGTCTGGTTTGTTAAATGTCTGTTGAAGTTCCCTGCAGGCTGCTTGCCTGCAAAAGTGGAAGCATGAAGCAGATCAGATTCTCAGCAATTTCCCCACCCCTAGGGTCTTGCTAGGTCAGGACACCTTCTTGCTGAAACAGTTCATCACACAGTAGAAATTTTACTAACCTGTGGCAAACCCATCATGTTTATATGCAGTACCCAAACTTACAGGACTATTGTAAATTCCTGCATCAAGTGACCAATAAAAATTGTAAGGGCAGGTGGCTTAGTATTCACTAATTATTAAACGTCTGTCTTCACTGGATTTGTAATTTCGTTTCCTATTTCCTTATTTCTATACAGCCTTCCCTTCCCCCAGAATTATTTGGTTCTCCTCATTCTCAATTTGAGTACCGAGTTCCTCACTATTTAGATCCTTGAATGTACCTTCTTTCTGCATATCATTCATTTGGGGGAATGGTCTTACGTCTGGCTGCTCTTTGATGTATGCTGCAGGTCTCTGCAGATTTCCCTGGAGAAGCAAGCAGCTCAGCACGTGAGAACACTTGGCTTTCAAAGTTTCAAACTTGCCTTTGGAGCCATCAGTTTTGAGTATTCTTCACCAGCAGCAATATCATATGGGAATAACAGAAGTGGGAACTATATCCAATTATTTTCATCACAGCATAGCAGGGTGACAGCTTCTAGACACTTGCAAAAGAATATATGGCTAAAGCAGTGGATAGAAATTCACAGCTAGCTCATTGATTCACTTTGATGTCAGACCAACAGAGTGCTCTTATCCCCAAACCAGGAGTTTACAAAGTATTTTAAACTTTTCAATGAGACAACTAGAGTCAGGATTAAAGACTTTTGAAGAACAAAACCTAGGAATAACCTTGTTTCTGAAAAACCTCAAACCAGGCATTATGGAGCACCATTCTTAATAGGTGCTTATACAGTGAGTTTAATTAGAGCTCTTAGAAGGTACAAAGTGGAAGCTGTCCTGTGCAGGATCTTTTCTTCTGAATTAGTAGTGATTTATCCCTTGCCTGTGTAACCTACTATGCATGCATACCTCTGCACAATAAGAAGGATGGAGCAGAGCTGAAGCTCTTCACCTATTTCTTTTCACTTGTCAGCCTGCCACAGAGACTATGCAGATGAACAATTGCTTCCTGTTTTGGGCTAGTACCCCAAGTCAGCCCTCATCAAGGATAAAATCTTGGGATGTCCTGTGTCCACTCTATATTAAGAGCAAGGTAAAAGTATCAACTTCTTGTGAGAGAGGAGGGAATTTATATAGTGGACACA